AATTTGAATTTGTGCTCTGTTTTAGTACTACATACTCTGTTTTTTTTTGCGAACATAGTATCATGCGGCTAGGCGAACCTTAGATACTATAGACCCTTAATTTATGATAATTATGCACAATGTAGCAAGGCTAGACAACGAGGTTTCGGTTCACGGTCCCGAGACGTTCGACGGGAGCACGAGCCCGTAGAGGACGATGCCGAGCCGTCCACTTCGCTTAGTCGACTCCCCGAGTGGGATGAGCGGACCTTGTACTTTTCTCCCGTCCACCACATTTCTAAGAGGGTGAGACAGGGCATCACCGTTGGGAGGACGCGCTGTCATGGTTCCGGCTGTGACGGCTTGGGCAATCTGTAGAAGATGTACATCGCCAGAGACGATCACACGAGACTTTTATGGGAGTCTTGCGGTCTTACTGCGCTGTACGAGACCTCCGAGGCAATGGTTGCCTCCAGCGGGGGTCACCATGTAGTTCGTGCTCTGGTGGAGTTCTTTTGGGACACCACCAACACTTTCCACTTTCCTTGGGGTGAGATGATGGTCACTCTTACCGACTTCAGTCTCATCACAAGACTGGAATTTAGTTTTGTGCCACTGTCGTTCGACAGTGGGATCGACGTCTTTTCCCCTGAGGTCGAGGAGTTGTTGGGTCCGATTGCTATTCGGGCTCGAGCTGAGGTAGAGTTGACTCAGTTCCAGCGCTAGGAGGATTCGCCGCTCGACTCTAGCAGCGGCTTTGGACGATGGTACGACCACCCGAGAGCAGCAGGTGCACATCTTTGCACTCATCTTGTTGTCAGGGACGTTCTCCCCTGACAAGGGTAGTAGGGTGCTGCTTTACTACCTTCCTGGCGTCCGCGATCTACCCCAGATCAAGACATATGACTGGGCTAGCTTGGCCTATGCTGATTTCATTCGACATCGGTCCTTTAGAACGAATGTTGCTTTGTCCATCTTTTGGAGGGTCGTAGAGGTAAACCTTATTCTCTATTAAGTTTTAGCTCTACATTTTAGTTAGCATTTACTGATAATTTTAGCTTCTTGTAGATCTGGTTCTACGAGTACTTCCCTTCTTCTGCGCCGGCGAGACCGTCGCCTCGCAGGTTTTCAGTTAGTGCTTCCTGGGGCAACCGCCGTGTAGGGATGTCCACTTCATATGTCCGAGATTGGATCATCTCGGTATGATTCTAGTCTTTTTGACATTTTGAGATGTTTTAGATAGATTCTTTCCTGATTGACGTTCTTTGCAGGAGCCTGAGGTGTTGAACCGACCGTGAGACGAACTGGAAGTCCCTGGGTTAGCCGCGTAGTATTCTGCTGAGCGTCGCTATTTCTTGGGGACCTATGGAGCGGTCGCGTATCTTGGAGAGAGGGTTTCTATTCAGCATTCTTCCGATACCTTCGTCGTTCCTGCTCCTCCACCACGTCACATGTTTAACGCCGCGAGGTTGTTGAGCATGTTAGAGGGAGCTGGTACCCTTTGGCGATCTTACACGATCCTTGGGATATGCTATGCGGAGGAGCTACTGCCGTTGTTAGCTTCAGTTCCTGTACCGGCTGAGGATGTGGCGGTACGAATTTTTAGCTTTTACCTTTCGTTAAGTAGCCCCCAAGTGATGCTTCACTGACTTTGTTTTGCTTTATCAGGACGATGCTGCTGAGTTCGTGCCACCCCATATGTCTATCCATTATCAGGGGACATATGGGTCGATTGAAGAGATGATTCCTCCGGCTCCTGAGGCTGAGCGCTTCGTGGAGCGGTCGATTCCTCGTCACCAAACTCGAGTAAGCTTGTTTATTTGCAACTATTGTCCATATATATTATGCATGTTTACTGACTGATTTCTTTGACAGTTCTCGCGCGAGGTGGTTTTGGCGATGCAACGATGCATAGATGCCTTCCGGAGCCAGCTTGTCCGGATGAGGAACGTGGCTACCTGTCGTCGGGGACGACGTCGTTCAGGAGGTAGTCCTCCTTTCATATGTTTTTGTATTACCGCTTCGATTTTGCCTGTTTCTGATTTTAATTCCTTTTTCAGGGTCAGCCCATTCCTTTTCGTACCCGCACGAGACCTGAGGTGCGGAGGGATTCGGCGAGGTCTAGCTCGAGATGTCGCCGCACTACTTCGGGAGGTAGGGGCGATCGTTCTGAGGCTCTCCTAACTGAGGCGGTAGAGGGCTCGGGTTCTTCCTCTGAGGGTGCACATGTTGCGCCAGTAGGCCAGTGAGAGGCTACCTCGGCTCTTAGAGGTGGTGGGATGTACGAGTTTGGCTCGTCATCGCAGCAGCCTCCGCAGCCTCACCCTCAGGTTGATCTCGGGTGGACTGGTCCTATGTTGAGCTTTCCTCCTCCTACGGAGACTGAAGCTGATGCTGGAGTTGGAGCCGGAGCTGTTGGAGAGGTTACTCCTCGTACGGCAGAGTTTTATGCGATGATGGGTTTACGTCCCCCGACACCGTAGCTTATACCTGTTCTTTTTATTATTTATTTAACTTTGTATAGAACTTTGCCTTTTAGTTACTCATTTTTTTAGACATATTTGTATATACATACTATTATGAGTTTATTTTATTTATCATGTTTTTTCATTTTTTTGTTATTATTATTATTATGTGCATGTTTGTGTGTGCAAGGAAATGTGACAAATAATTTTGCGCAAAAATTCCGTCATTTTTATTATTCATGGAGGGTATCCGACTTTCTCCCCCAAAAAGAAAAAATGAAAAAAGGAAAAGTCAAATGAAATATTGGATTTATAAAAACTTGTAATTTAGTCTAAATAAAATCTAAAAAAATAATATAATTAATATAATAGCTATATTAATTAAAAAAAGGAATAAATGAATTTTTAGAAAATGATAAGGAAGTCGTAAAGTCATTAACAGACTCGAATTAAGTTAAAAACGCGGTTTCTAGAAAGCGCGTACGATGAGGCAAATTGGCGCCAGCTGGCGCCACGCGTTTTGGTGTAGCGCCAGGCGCTACGCTTAGTGTTTGGCGCCAGGCTCTGGCGTCAGGCGCCAATAGTAGCGTCTAGCGCTAAAGAGCGATGATCCCGAATCCTTCCCAGATTAAAACTGCTCCGATTTCATGCATAAATAGCCCCCTACCCTGCCGATTCATTTCATAATTTCCGCAAATAAAATAATTCTTAGCTTTAGAAAAATAATATCATGTCTCTAGTCAACAAAACTTTTACCAATTACACCCATGAATGGTGTCGGTCTCTTAACGCCAAAGAAAGAAAAGAATTAGATGTATTTCACTTGGGGGTATTTATGGTATCAAAGGGGTAGATTTTGATTTAGATTTTATTCATACCGCTCTAGAATATTGGGATGTAGATACTCATTGCTTTAGAATAGGGTATGATAAAATTAGTCCTTTGCCGGAAATATTTGGTGCTATTTTAGGTTTCCCTGCAATAGATCTTGTAGTAATCCTTAGAATAGATGCATATTATTATAAGGATTTTGAACGCTTCTTCAATTTAAAAGACAGGGATCTATCAAAAATAGTGGATGGTAACATAGTTAATTTGAAAGAATTTGCTCGCCATTATTTTGATAAACCTTACTCCGAATCTTTTCATGTTTATAGAAGAAGGGCTTTCTTATTTTGTATGTTTAATCAATTTTTTCTTACTAGTGGTAAAAATAATGAGGGTCAATCAATTATAACCACTGTATTAGAACAAATTGAATCAGGGAGAAATCCAATACCTTTAATAGTTGGAGAGACTATGATTAGTCTAGATGAATTAAAGAGGAATCGAAAAGCACCTTTTCAGGGCTCTCCAATTTTATTACAGGCAGAAAAATAATATTTTTATTTACAGAAATCAAAAACATATTTTAGTATAGTAATAATAATTTATTTGCATTGCAATTTTTTTTTTTTTTTTATAGATGTGGCTAATGGAAAGGCTGTAATTAATTAGCCCTCTAGACAACATTGAGAAGTACACTTCAAATTGCTTCGTGAGGAGGAAGAAACGCTTCTCTAAGATGGGGCGCCACGAATGGAAGAGGGTCTTTGAATCTTGCAACTTTTCCATCAAGTGGATTATCCCTTGGTGTAAAATAGAAAAGATGGTTGGTGTCAACAAGCAACCATTCTGCCATCTTCCAAGCTTGTCTCGTATGACTTATTATTATCCCTGCAGGGTAAAAAGACAATACGACTTACTTCAGACTATTCCTTCTGGAGATCTTCGTCCTTCCTACGAGTTCCCTGTCTCCCAGGAAGTAGACAAGTTTGATGCTTATTGGAGTGCCAGACCTCTATGGGAGGTAATTACCCAAAAGGTTCCTCCTTCCTTGCTCAATGATGTGAAAAAGTGGCTGCTGAAGAAACCTTCAAAGGACTTGAAGAAAAATCAGGGTAAAACTGATGTGAAAAGTCGTCTAGGTGATAAAGTAATTTCTTTTAGGGAACGCTTAGGTGAAAGAATTGAGTTCAAAACCCTTACAATGCCTAGGAAGAAAAGTACTTCAAAAGATAAGGGAAAAAGGAAAGCTGACACCATAGAGAAGAAAGCTTGTGTAGAAAAGAAGCATGGACTCCTAGCAGAAGGGGAAACTATCTACTCCAAGATTGAATGTAAGTCCTCTAAAGAATGCCTACTAGGTAAGGTTTTAAATGAGGAGGAGGAAGCAGACAAAAATTAGAAAAGGGCTAAGAAAGAGAAAGAAGATTAAGAGCATTGCTTAATTTCCAATTTTTAGACTTAGTTTATTTTTTTGTTATTTTTTTTTTTTTTTTTTTGAGGGGAAACGTTAGCAGGATTATTATTCCAAATCAAGTTCCGACAAGGCTAAACACCTTGTGGGATAGAGTCAATACAAATAAGCTCCGAACAATCATGAGTATCCCATCTTGGAACAAGGTGGGCTACTGTATTTCCTGCTCTACGAATATGAGAAATATTAAAAACATGAAAATTGCTAGCTAACAACCGAATATCATCATATATAAGCCAAAGAGGGGAGACACCAATTTAATCCTTGCCAATTTTGCTCGTAACTGACAATGCATCGCTTTCAATCCGCACCATCGAGTGACCCATTCTCCTAGCCATCTTGCACCCAAACCGAATTGCAGCAGCCTCCGCCAATTCAACCGACCAGTTCACCGGGATTCTCCTTGTGGCAGCCCACAAGATCTTACCAGCATTGTCCCTTGCAACCGGTCCAAGACCCCCTGCAACACCAACACCAACATGGGCATCAACATTGATTTTTATAGTGCCTGGCAGAGGGCACTTCCACTTTGTTACGCAGCTCTGTCTCGCAAGAGCAGGGGATTGAACCACCATCTTGGTGTATAAACAATGTTCACGCACCATTCGAAGAAAACCAGCAGCAATATACCGCATATCAAGCTCTTCTCTCGCAAAAACGTGCTTGTTTCTACAAAACCAAACAGCCCACACAATGGTTAAAATGCTTCTCAAATCATCCCTCCCAACTCTTGTGTTCATCCATAGCAGCCATTCTGTAAAGGGGGCGTGATGTGGGGAGTCAGCAATAATGTCATTAAGATCAAAGGAGTTCCACACTTGCTGCACATTAGAGCACTCAAACAGCGCATGAGCGATGGACTCCACCTCAATACCGCACCCACTGCAGCGATCATCCAAGGCAATGTGACGTCGATGAAGCTCTTTTTTGACCCCCATACTACCTCTGCAGGCTTTCCACACAAAGTGGCTGAGCATCGAGGGACCACCAAGACCCTACACCACACTCCACACCTTCCTCTCATCCTCATTCAACACATGAGTAGCCCCTAATTTACCAAGCCAATAAGCAGATTTTACACTAAATTCACCATTACTTGTTGGCCACCAGTACTGTGTATCCCTTGGTAAATTATTAGAAAGAGGGAGTTGGAGAATAAGCTTGCATATCTCGTTAGGGAATAATTGGCGCAACACATCTTCATTCCATTCGCCACAATGTAAATCAATAAGCTCAGACACACGAAGCTCAGGATCAAAGGAACTATCATGTGAAGGGATCACATTTCCAAGCAGCCAAGAATCTCGCCAAACTTTGATGTCAGCACCACACCCAACTCTCCACATAAGGCCATCAATTAGCAAGGACTTCTACCCCTATAAGCTCCTCCAAGAGTAACTCGGGTCATAGCCTCGATAAGCTTCCAATATCGAGCTATTTTTAAAATACCTTGCTTTTAAAATAGCAAAGAGTAACGGGTTTGGATTGCTATATAATCTCCACATTTGCTTGGCTAAGAGAGCTTGATTAAAGACTTTTAAGTCCCTAAAACCCATACCCCCCATAGATTTCGGTTTGCACAATGAGACCCAACTATGCCAATGCATTTTCCTTGTTGTATCTGTCGAACCCCACCAAAATCGAGCCAAAAGAGCATGAATTTCATCAATAAGGCCATCCGGGATTCTAAATATACTCATCATGTAAGTGGGGATCGCTTGAGCCACCGCCTTGATCAAGATTTCTTTTCCGGGTCTAGATAAGAGCTTTTCTTTCCAACCTTGAATCTTCCACCAAATTCTCTCCTTTATACTTGCAAAGATGGCTTTTTTTTTTATTTTCCAATGATAGTCGGTAACCCCAAATATTTTTCATGTTTTTCTACTTCTCTCACCCCCAAAATATCAACAATTTCTTTTCTCCGATCTTCCTCTACTCCCTTGCTAAAGACAACATCTGTTTTTGTCAAATTGACACTTTGTCCGGATGCTCTTTCATATTTGCTGATAATGTCAGCTACAACTGAGCATTCACTAATAGTAGCTTTAGCAAAGAGAAGGCTATCGTCTGCAAAAAATAAATGAGATACTCTGGGGGCACCCCTGCAAATCCTCGCACCATGAATCAAATTTTCTTAAGCAGCTTTTGATAACAGAGTAGAGAAAGCATCCGCAATGATAAGAAAAAGGTACGGCGAAATTGAATCTCTCTGTCTCAACCCTCTAGTAGGAACAACCGAGCCCGAAATTGTCCCATTAATTTTAAAAGCAAGAGAGACACTAGATAAGCAATCCAAAATCCTTCGAACCCCACCATCACAGAAGCCCATTTTATACATAACACGTTCCAAAAAGCCCCACTCCAGTCTATCATATTCTTTAATCATATCTAACTTCAAAGCAATTGATCCAACATTCCCCTCCCCACCTCTCTTCATAGCATGAAAGATCTCAAAAACAACCAAGGCATTATTAGTAATCAGTCTTTTCGGAATAAACGCACTCTGATTAATAGAGATATTTTTTTCCAGAAAAGGTTTCAGTTTATTTGCTAACACCTTTGAGATAATCTTATACACTACATTACAACAACTTATGGGTCTAAATTCAGAAACACGTTTCGGGTCTTCACATTTCGGAATAAGCACCACACAAGTTTTATTAATTGCATTAAGATTTACCTCACCTCTCCACCAACCCTTCACAAGATCAACAATGCTACTACCAACAATATGCCAAAATTTTTGATAAAAGAGAGCATGCATACCATCCGGTCCCGGGGCTTTGTTGGGGTGCATCTGAAAAAAGGGTAGATTTAATTTCCTCCGATGAAGGCTCCTCACAAAGCTGCCTATTCATGTCATCAGATACCACGGTTTTTATGCCTTCTAATGCTTGGTCAAAATCATTAGGGGAGCAAGAGCTAAAAAGTGCCTCAAAATATTTTGCTACTGTCCCCTCAATATCCACCTTTGTCGACCTCCCCTCGTTATCATCATCAAAAAGGCCCATAATGCTATTAATCCAGCGACGATTACTAGCTTTTTCATGAAAATAAGCCGTATTTTTATCACCGTCTTTAATCTTATTCGCCCTTGCTCGTTTATGCCAATACAATTCTTCAATGCGGTGGAGCTCATCAAGCTTGGTGGAAAGTGCCTCACATTGTTCAAACATCGTAGCATCCGGCAACCGACCTTGTATTTCTTTGAGAGCTTCTTTAGTGCCTCTTATTTTCTTTTTTATATCACCGAACTGTTTTGCTGCCCACAAGGAAAAGTGTTCCCCACACAAAGCAATTCTACTCGCTGCATCTTTCCCCACGATGCTCACCCATGCATTATCAACAACCTTACTGCACTCTTCATTAGACAACCACCAAGCCTCAAATCTAAAAGCCTTTCCCTTACCACCTCTCTCATAATAATTACTAGAGCTCAAAATGATCGGGGCATGGTCAGATCGATAAATCGGATACTGTCGTACCTCAAAGAAAGTAAATATACCACACTACCCACCATCCGCCAAAAATTGATCAAGCCGCTCTCTCTTCAAAGTTAACAGTGAATTACCCCTCTTCCATGTGAAAATGCTACACTTGTACCCCAAATCCTTCAAACCACAATCATCTATTGCACCCCGGAAAGCATCCATAAGACTCTCACTCCTCGGAACACCTCCCTCCTCCTCCTCATGACTCACAATCTCATTAAAATCCCCAAACATCACACACGGACGAGAACTACCAGCTTTAATTCTCCTAAGCATCGCCCATGTAAGATGTTTATTTTCCTGTTCTGGCCACCCGTATACACCAACCGCTCTCCATATAGGGTTATTATTATGGTCACACACATCCACCACCACGTGATGAATCGAATAGGTATTCACTGTAACATTGATATCTTTCCACCAAAACCCAAGCCTCCAGAGTTGCCCCTAATCCCAACACATATCCCATTGACAAAACCACATCTGTTTCGAATTCTAGTCAAGCTAACCTCATCAATCATTGTCTCCATCACAAAGACAATATTTGGCCTCTCTCTCGAACACCAATCCTGGAGAGCTTTAACTGACCGAGGGTTGGCCAACCCTCGGCATTTCCAACTCAATATTTTCATTTCTCTTCGAGGGGTTGGATAGCACCATACCCCTCTACTTGATTTTTCCCGTCTCCGGATACAACATCACCAAGCTTCTGCTTCTTAATAGAAACCGTCTCAAGGTCCCCATCTGCCTCCATATTAGAGCTCAAATTTGTTCTCTTTGTTGCCCCACTCCCATGATGCATCAATCCATCACTGTCAGTAAGGATAATGTCAGCTCCCAAGTTTCTCACCTTTCTTTCCCATTTACCCCCACCACTATTCTTGGAGCAAGGATTAGTAAGTGTTTCCTTAACACCAACACCCAAGCCACCCACTTCATTAATAGACCCCACTGCCCCGTCACCCACATTCTCACATTCTTCATTAAAATTAGTGTCATTACCCTCATTAGATTCCATCTCTTGCACCTCTCCAATCCCCACCACAACTCTACTACCCCCACTATCATCACCCATGATGTTTTTTGGTCTCAGCACCATTTTATTTGCAAGCTCATCATACACCAACATCAAACTAGCCTCCCTTTCCTTTGGATGTGATTTTACTAAGGGTGAAGGTGGAGAAGTAAACTGAAGCTTCCTGGCAGCCCCAATAGGACCCAACTTTATGGATTGTGCGTCATTGTAAGAAATCGATCGACTCCCCTTGCAAGAGCTGATCTTTGCTAGCAATTTCTTTTCTTTCTCACGAGCCCCTAACGCCGCTTGTGAAGTCTTCATAGGTGACGCCCTTAGCCACGGGCCATATTGATAAACAATTTCAGAGCATTTTTCATCATCCTCCTCTTTCCTAGCACACATTTTATCCGTGTGATCTAGGCAGCCACAATAAAAGCAGAAATCATCAAGTTGTTCATATTTGATATCAATCCATTTCGGTTTCGACCCACCAACCGCCATGAACAAGCCTCTGTGCAAAGGTTTTTTGATATCCACAAACACCTTGATTCGAACAAATTCCCCCCAGACAAGAGGATCATACTCGTCAAAATCAATGAATCCCCCCAGAACATCACCCACTTCACGCATCACACCAGGTGTACGCTTGTTAAAGGGAACATCAAAGAGCCTTACCCACATTGGGGTGCGACTAATATCAACATCAGATGGTTGTTCATCCCCATTAATCTCTCCAAGAAGCATGAGTTTTCCATCAAAAAACCATGGCATACCATCAATAACCCATTGTTTATCTTCCTGATTGAGAAATTGAAATATAAAAAGATTTGTATCCATCATCCTAATAATAATGTTATCAGTTACTTTCCATACGGTTGTTAGGGTTTTTTTCATCGCCTCGACGTTGAATGGTTTCAAAGTGCAAAGTTTACCAACGAGAGCCAATTGAATTTGTTCCTGCTTCGCTAAATCGTCCCCTTCCCCCAGTTCCCCAACCACCTTGCTTTCCTCCTCTGTCAGGGACAACTTCTCCCACTCTTTAATAATATCGTCCTCCATAAGCAGAGCAAAACAGGGTAAATTGATAATTGCAGTAACATTTGTTGAATAAAAGAAAGGAGATTGATTGCAGTGGAAATCGTCGAGAACAAATCGCCAAACCCTAAACAAGGACAACGAACCCTAGGCCAGGATTGTTATTTAAAGTTAATTTATTTAAGCTTTATTTAAATTCCATCAATAATGTAATTTATTTTATTAATGAAATTCCAGCTTTTTAATTAAATTATGTACTTTAAATTTATTTTATTAAAGCAATGAAAAGCAAAAAAAAAAATTAATTTTCCACAAATTTTTCGAGTACGGAAGTTGAAAATTTTCCACCAAAATATTCCCAGAATTTAACTGTGAATTGGCGCCATGATTTCGA